TTAGAGAATCTTTTGAAATTGACCTTAAAGTACGACCTTTAAGGCGCCCCACTGTGTTCCTCAGATGTATGTCTTTGTTGTTTCATACTGTTTTGGTGACACCTTTGCTTGTGTCCCTTGTTGTTTCTCTCGTCTACGGTAAGTATCTTTCCAATCGCCTCTAGTTTTTGTTTCTTTCATTAACACCCCCCCCCCTCTTCCCCGGTCTCCTGACCCCTTCCCCTTTGTGGGCCTATTATTACTTTCTTTGAATTCCTAATCAGTTACAAATTATGTATGATTTAATGATTAACGTGTCTTTGCCCTGTCCTTTTAATGTTTGGGGTCCGCCTGGGCTCCTTGCCATGGGTTCTTGTTGCTTAGTCATATAGGGGTTGCGTTCATTGAACGCCGCCTTTCTTTGTTGATCTTGTTTATCATATTTTTTACTTAGCAACACGGTTCTTTCGAATGACACGCCTTCTCATTATTATTCAAAGATCTTATTAGCTTTTTTTTATTTTCAACGTTTTACATTATAGTTAAAGCCTATTTTAGCATTCGGCAAGATAGGGCCATTTATGTGTTGACGTGCCGTAAAATGCAAACAAACACAAATATTGTGAACATATTAAGTTACAATTGTTTTTAATTTCTGCCTTCTAATGACAAAATAGATAGTAATAAACAAAATTGATACTGTTGCAGGCTCGGTTTGATTCAGCCAGTTCATGGACGGTACTGGAAAGTGCAATGTAGCGTCCACGCCCCTAGCACCGGCTTAGCTAGAATTCAACATTTAATTATAGTAAAGTTATATCCCGGACAAGCATAACAGGACGGACGGACGCACACACCAAACCGATGTTTAGCTCTGTGCAAGCAGGTTGAGGTATAAGTATTCCATCCATCTTTTTTTTAACGTGCGTTATCGCCAGAGGCGACTTAATGTGGTCAATGTACTGGAGTCTGAACCCCCTTGTGTGGAGGTACGATTTTAACACCCGAGAGTAGACAAATCATCTTTTTATTCGTACCATATGACCTTTATTGTGTTTGTGCGCCGTTAAACCAAACTCTGTTAATCTGTCATCGACAAACTATATCTTTATTTTCTACTTGGGTCAGTCTCAATTTGTAAATGAATAGTACACTGGCAGTGATAAAAAATTCTGAAGATTTGGCGCCGGAAAGTTCGTAATGACCGTAAATGCATAATATTAAAAACAATACTTGCCTTGTTCATAATTTATATATTATCTATAAATTATCCAAAGGAGTATCATCTTATTCGCTTATATATTTTCCACAAAGAAGAATTAAGAGGGTTTCATTTACTCTCTATTTTGCATTTTATCTGATTACTTCATTTTTTAAACCGTATTTACAAATAAATAGTAAATATCAGCTGTTTACGTTTCTGTTTTTCTGATACACTTGTGTGTAAAACATTTGCCTGACTTAAGGTATCAAAAGGTATCTTATGTCTGTCGCCAACAGTAAATCTGGAAAGTCACCATATGACCTATACTGTGTTTGTCCGCCGTAAAACCCAACCAAATTAAATATTTTAATAACAGTATAAAGCAAGTAGTAATGCAGTTATAACAATATGTAGGTATCAGTAATTTCTAACATTGTGTAGTTATCAATAATATTAACTATACGATGAACAGAAACTGAGAATCTGATACATATATCTAATAAAGTTTTTAGTTTTCATGTGATTAAAATTGAACATAAAATAATGGGAAACTGTCATTGTACAATGCATTAGCCCGGGTGTATTGCACGAGTTATGTCTTGTACTGTGTTGGTAGGCCGTTAATTATGATAAACAAGATCGACAAGGAAAGGCGGCGTTAAACCAAATTAAACAGGAGTTATCGCTTTGTTTCCAAATTTTTATATTGACCAAACAAAGCATAACCTTTCTTTATGTGTGTGAAGGATGGTATCAGAAAGGTTGCTACAGAGGTGATAAAACTTACTGATTAAGCATACACTGTTACTGGATGGTCATAGTTATTTCGTTTACAGCAGTATTATTGCATTATTCTTACATTTCAATTCCTTTAAACTAATTTACTTTTTAATCTAAGGCACACTATGCTTCCAATTTTCTGGGGTAGCTTTTCGTTTCCTTACTAAACGCTTTTTACAGGACTATTATAAGTTGCAGATTTTCGCGGTGTGGTAGAGATATACGTAAGTGGTACATGCCTTGCATACAGTGTTTCGTCATTCTGTTCTTCCCCTGAATTCTCAGAAGTGTCCCAGGTGTTCTCTGCGTGTCAGCAATGTCATTGATGATACATGCATCATAATGTTCAATAATTGTTAGAATAGATGTATATGCCAGGTTTATGATTTCATTTGTTTCACTTGCTAAAAGAGTTGGTTGTACCTTTGTTTGTAAATATCATCACACATTTCCTCTCAAGATTGGCCAAAGCACGTGATAGAAAATCAGCAACTCTTTCGCGTTTTAAATTTTCAACCTCATTTAGATACTCATTCCAAAAGGCTTCACCATCATAAGGTCTGTGTTTGTTTCATAAAAACATGCATACTAGTTTTGCTCCAGATGTAAGCATATTGGCTGCCTAAGCTCCTGGGCGGAGTAACTTGGCCCAGATGATTTAATTGAGCTTCAAATGAGCAGTTACCATATCCTTGTACTTTGACTCTCGTAAAAGCTTTTTTGTGAGTAGCGCGTCTATTATAGTTTCCTCTGTTCTAAACCTAGCATTGCGTGTGAGTGTTTCTTTTATACTTTCATTTATTGTTGAAATTGTTGCTGCACTATTTGCTTTGTCCGTTTCAAAGTCAACAGATGTTGATGAGCTCTTTTTATATACCATCTCTTCTTGTTGCTTAGGAAATTTAGTACGCTGTTTGTTTTTTAAGTGCTTTTCCACCACACGTTCGAATTTCTTCTTTTGTTTCCGGTCTTTCTTTGTGGTTTCTTGTGCATCGGACGAATATTCGGAATCAGTTAAATTATGAGCTTTTGAGGAAGGTATGTATGTTTTATCTAAACCACTATTGCTATCAGAGGCATCCATGTCAAACAATTTTCTCTTTTGAATTAAGTGGCTAAGAGGAAAATGTTAACAATGTTTTTCTAATCAGTATGTCATAATATAGCTGAAATAAATACGGATGTATACAAATTATTATGACAAATGAGCATTGTTGTCTAATTCTAACATATTCACAATTGACTTTTCCAAATAAACAAGCAAATTAGATAAAAGTATTATGAAAGGGTGTTCTGATAATTTAAAAACACGCTATATCATTGAAATAAACATACAAATTTAAGCTGCGTGAAAGTGCTAACAGTACCAGAAACAGAAACAAAATATGTTAATTCTCTAAATATTTGCTGTTTCTAACATATTTCGAGACTCACCTTCTGGATTCTCCTGTTTCTGTTTTTTGGCATTTGAGCAGTTCTGCCAGATTCTGACTGTCTTAAGTCCGGCGTCACAAGCCATATCAATTAACCTGTAAAACATAGCCAAACATTATAATATAGCTTTACATAAGCATATATATATATAGATGTTCTAAAGAAACAAAAAACAACTATGAATTTTTCCAGTAATACTAAAACTCTTAAACCGCCGTATATGGAGCAGAATTAATGCATTTATTCTATCTTGCTTGATGACATTGGAACTTGCATTATGCTTAATTCCATCTTGCTTGATGACATTGGAACTTACATTATGCTTGATTCCATCTTGATTGATGACATTGGAACTTGCAATATGCTTAATCCCATCTTGCTACATGACATTAGAACTTGCATTATGCTTGATTCCATTTTTAGCTCGACTATTCGAAGAATATGAGAGCTATTGTAGTCGCCCCGGCGTCGGCGTCAGCGTCGGCGTCTGCGTTGGTTAAAGTTTTTTGTATACCTGAATCCAAAATAAAATTAAACAATAAACAAATAACATTTAAAACAGATTCATTATTTACATTTTTTAGATATTCATTTAATATATTATCAAACACAGAAGGACTTTTATTATTTTTTATTTTTTTTTTTAAACTTTTTTAATTTCCTCAATAGTTATTTCTGCATTTAAGAAGCTATTATTACAACTTATATTCTCAAGATCTAAATCATCTATTTAAATTGTCAATATCTAGATCAGATTCATTTAATTTAACAAAATGTTCAAAAAAGACTTCTTTTGAAATATTATTAACAGTATCCCTGCTGTCCGTGCAGTATCTATTTAACAAATTCCAAAAAGCTTTTGGGTCTGACGACTTTAACCCAAGTATCCGTTTATTAAAATTATCTTGATAAGACTTAATTTTCTTGTTAATCATCTTTTATAAGATTTTCCACTAGACACCATTGATTGGAAGTTAGTATCAGTCTTATTTCTTCTATAATAATTCTTATCTGACAAGTATGTTCTTCTTGCTACTTTACAATCATCATCAAACCACTCTTTCTAATGTGATTTCTTACGTCTTTAGTACTTTTTTGTACATCAATAATCAAGTGACAGCTATCAGCAGCATTATAAAATAGTTGAGAAACTTACTCAGTAAAGTTATTAATAGTATTATCACAATTAGTTTTACTTGTCAACAATTCTGAGAGTTCTACTTGTAAAACAGAAACACTGTCTAAATCAAAACTATTTTTAAACACATCATTCACAGCTTGATCCCATATGGGGTTTTTAACAGTAGCACCACTGTCATGAATATCAGTAACACATGAACTATTTTGTGTTTAACATAAAATAGAATCAAACTTAATACAAAAAGAAATAATTATTTACATTGCAATTACTTCCGTTGAAAACGGATGATCACTTTTTGACTATTTAACAAAAAGATATTTTATACGCGAAAAGCACACCAGGGTGCAAACAACTAAATTTTATGAGTGACATAGTGACTCCAGAGGAAAAATTGATGTCCTATCGGGGTTTAACGTTGTAAATAAGAATGAATCGAGAAAAAAATGGCGGCCATTTTATATGAAATTATTTTCGTTTCGAACAATACGCAGTTTATGGTATCTGTTATATTTATCGCTAATATTTATGATTTTACGTTAATTCGATTTACTCTGTTGCACATTCCTTTATGATTTTTGAACGATTTTCACGTGCGTGTACTGTATATAAGGGAGTACATGTGTAAAAGCGTCACTCGAGGTCTGTATTTGATAGAATACATTTCGAAAAATGACAGAAGAAAGCAGTTCAGATTTAAAGAGGGCTCTTATTGGAGAAATGCAAGAAATTTTCGACCAGAAGTTTTCAGAATTGAAACACGATTTGAAAGCAGAAGTAGAGTGGACAGCTGAAACTTCAAGAAAAAAGGTCAGACTTAACAATTCAATTTCTTTCTCGAGTGCTGGAAATAAGAAGCAATTTGATTTTAACTGTGAAACTTTAGAGCTGTTAGACATTTGTGATAGAGCAGTTAGTAAAAGAGATGCTTCAAAAGCTAAAGCAAGTTTTGAAGGAAGCTAAAGAAAAATTAGAACATAGAAATAAGATTATTCGTATTGCTGATAGTTCCTCAGCTGGGTGGGGTACAGTTAATGAGTATGAGTTGTGTGACTTTGCTTCTGATTCGGATGATGATAGGCGTATTAGAAAAGCAGAGGAAAGAGCTATCAATAAGATTGAAAAACGTAAAAAAGCTGTGTCTTCTGATATTTTCAGCCCTTCTGGGCAGTCTTCTTTTCGCAGTTATAGAGGAAATAGCACCCCCTATTCGAGAGGACCCATGGGGCGGCGCTTCGTGCAGTTGGGGGAGGTCGTATGCTATAAATGTGGAGAAGTTGGACACTTCGCATCAGGTTGTGCCACCGAATACGGAGTTGCAACATCTAGAACCGGATCTCGTGGTCGTGGAGCATTGGGACCAGTCGCCACACCCTCTTCTCAGTTCATCCCGCAGCAACAACAACAACAACAACAACAACAATTCAGTGTGGACTCAGGCATGCAACAACAGCAATCAGCAAATAGAAAGTGATTCTGATGATAAGTATTGGACTTTTGCTAATAGTGACTTTTTCTCTAGCATTAATTATCATTCTTTTATTGCAAATCAATTTGAAAACTCTTGCTCAATTTCTGACTTATCTGTTAAAGGAAGATTAAACAGTTGTCTGCAATATTGGACTGATATTATTCAAGCAGATAGAGATATATTGTCTGTTATTGAACATGGTTATGTTATACCATTTTTAGTTAAACCTCCGACTTATATTATGAAAAATAACAAGTCAGCTATAGATCATTCGGATTTTGTTGAATCAGCTATTAATGATTTATTGTTAAAAAACTGTGCTTACGAAGTTCCGTATATTCCACATAATGTTAACCCGCTGTCCGTTGCTATTCAGTCTTCGGGGAAAAAGAGACTTATTCTAGATGTTAGTGTACTTAATGATTTTATCAAATGTGAAAAAACCAAATTTGAAGATTATAAAATAGCTAAAGAGTTTGTTGTCAATGGTGGTTTTATGATTAAGTTTGATCTTACAAGTGGCTATCACCATATCTCGATTTCACCAAATCAACATACTTTTCTAGGTTTTTCTTGGAAATATGGTGATTCTACTAAATACTATGTTTTTTCAGTTTTAGCTTTTGGTATTAAATCGGCTCCTAGAATTTTTACTAAAACTTTAAGACCTTTGGTAAAATATTGGAGATCGCGCGGATTGAAAATCATAATTTTTCTTGATGATGGGTGGTGCGTTAATAGTACTTATGATTTAACGCTACAAGATTCTAATCTTATTTTAGATACCCTTAAGAAAGCAGGTTTTGTTGTAAATAAGGATAAATCAGTATTTGTCCCTACTCAGTGTTTAGAATGGACTGGCTTTGTATGGGATTTGAATAACGGTGTGATCAAAATTCCTCAAAGACGTATTGACAATACCCTTAAATGTTTGGAAGACATTGTTCAATCTTTACCATTTTCATCAGCAAGAAAATTGGCCCGACTTGCAGGGAAGATAATTTCAATGTCACCTGTGTTAGGCAATGTTTGTCTTTTACAAACAAAGTGCTTTTATCGTTTAATTGAAAGTAGAAAAAGCTGGGATACATTGTTTGACATTTCAACTTGCAAATCATTTCTTGAATTCTGGAGAAAGATATTAAGTTCTTCTTTTCAAAAATCTTTGTTTAAAGATTATGTACCGGAAGTGTTCATATATTCTGATGCGTCAGCGGTTGCTGGTGCTGCATATATTGACTATGATGGTTCTGTGGCACATAAAGTATGGTCAGATTATGAACGTTGTCAGAGTTCGACGTATAGGGAACTGTTAGCGATTCAATTTTGTCTTGATAGTTTTATTTCAAAATTAAAAGGTAAAACAGTTCAATGGCATACAGATAGTAAGAACTGTGTAAGTATAATAGAAAAAGGCAGCACAGATTTAATGTTGCATAATTTCGCATTTAAAATATTTACGTCATGTGCCGAAAATGGGATATCTTTAAATGTTATTTGGATTAACAGGTCGCTGAATAAGACGGCAGATAGTTTAAGTCGCATGATTGATTATGATGATTATGGTGTTTCACTTAAATTTTTCAGATACATCAATTCTTTATATGGTCCTCATGATGTTGATAGGTTTGCTAATTCTCATAATCATAAACTGGCTAGATATAATTCATTATTTTGGACGCCTGATACAGAGGCTGTTGATGCGTTTTCTGTATCTTGGTCTGGTTGTAACAATTGGCTTGTACCGCCTGTTTTTCTTATCCCAAAAGTCTTAAATTATTTAGCAGCCTGTAAAGCAAGGGGTACATTAGTCGCTCCATATTGGCCGTCTAGTCCGTTTTTTCCTATGATAACGGGAAAAAATGCATCTTTTAATAAGTACATATACGAATTGCTTGTGTTTAATTGTGCAAAGGATATATATGTTCAAGGAAGTAATTCTGAATCTATTTTTGGTACAGATCATTTTACAAGTAAAGTTATTGTTGTAAGATTACACTGTGATTGAAATTACAACATTGATTTGATGTATATGTTGTTGCATGCTAATTAAATATATACATGTATATATATATACACATATATATTATTTGTTTTATTTGATCTTTTTGATTGTTTTATTCTACAGGCTTATTCAATTCGAAGAGATGGAGTGAAATTTCCCGTGTTTGTCAGTACATTTCCGATCGACCGGTGGAACTGTTCTCAGATGTGAAGGACACATTAATAGCTGCTAGAGAGAACTCTACTGTTCGTAATTATCAATTACTGTTTAAAAAATTTGCCTCATGGTGTAAATCATTTAATCTTAGAAGTTTACCTGCTTTACCAGAAACGGTTGCTCTTTATTTAGTTACAGTTACTCAGGATCGTAATGTTGGGAAATCTAAGCTAAATTCAATTTTTTATTCCGTTAATTGGGCGCATATTATTTCGAATGAAATTAATCCATGTACTGATTCCTGGCTGAAGCTTTGTTTATCTGGTTGTATTCGCCGTACAGCTAAACCAGTTAATAAAAAAGAGCCTGTGACTTCTGTTATGTTGAAAAAGTTTGTTGAGGTTTTTGCTTCTGAGAGCAGTTCCCTAGCTGATTTAAGAGATGTAAACTATTTTCATATTGTCTTATGCAGGTTTTTTCAGAATAAATGAAATTTTGTCTCTCACTAGAATGGATCTAAAATTTTTTGATGCTTATTGTGAAATATTTGTTAAGAAATCGAAGACAGATGTGTTAAGAGATGGAAACTCAGTCGTAATTGGCAGAACTGAAACGGCTATGTGCCCTGTTAAATTGTTAGAACGTTATTTATTGACAGCAAATATAGACTGTACTTCATCAGATTTTATTTTCAAACCTGTACATTTTTGTGGAAATAATACTCCATTCAAATTGATTTCTCTCAATAAACATGTGTCATATACTACTATTTATGAATCTTTTAAAGGAAAGCTTAAAAAATTAGGATATGATGCAAGTAAATTTGGATTACATTCTTTTCGCTCGGGTGGAGCTACAATTAGTGCTAATAATTACACAAGTGATAGACTTTGGCAAAGACATGGTAGATGGAAAAGTGTGACTGCTAAAGATGGTTATGTGAAAGATTCATTGAAAAACAGATTATCAGTGTCTTTGAATTTAGATTTATAATACAGGATTGTATTGAAATTTGATTTAAAACATTCATAATGCAAATCTTATTAAATAGTTTTCAATTTATTTAAGTTTGTTTGATACACAAATATTACATCCCTTTTTATTTTGAGATAAAAGGTCTACTATATGTAATAATCATGCAATCTTGCAGACGATAGTAGTTAGGGTTCGAACCTAGACTCTTACTTTAGAATTTGTGATTACATGATAATAGTTATCAATCTTATTATTTCTGATTTAGTTTTTATTACGTACAATACAAAAGGTCTAGAACTTAAGCAATTACATATCTTTAATATTTTTAAGAGATATTTGCAATTAAATATATTCAGATGTATTTATATTACGTTTAAATGTCTTGTTAATTTATCTAGAAAACTGTTGACATGAAATCACAAAAGTCTAAAAAACACATATTAAGGCCAGGGAAGTTAAGTCACTGTTTTACATGCAGAGGCCAGCATATCTAAATGCAGTCAGAATGACTAAAATATTTTGTAGACTTTTGGTCAGGATGACAGTTGTATAGGCCAGGATGGCTAAATTTGGTCAGGATGACCGTTGTATAGGCCAGGATGGCTAAATTTGGTCAGGATGACCGTTGTATAGGCCAGGATGGCTAAATTTGGTCAGGATGACCGTTGTATAGGCCAGGATGGCTGAATGTTTTTGTTTGGTCAAGATGACCGTTGTATAGGAGCAGGATTGCTGAATTTGGGTTAGGATGACTGGTGTATGGCCAAGATGACTGAATCTAGTCAAGATGACTGCTGTTAAAGCCATGATGATTGATTTTGGTGGATGATTGGATCTGGTCAAGGTGATTAAAGTTAAGACAAAGAATTTTCATTAAGGCGAGTATAGTTTATTCTGTTTTTCATTTGCTGGTCTTTAGATTCATGTAGTTATAAATTTTTTGAAATCTTCAAATTTAATGGTGGTAATGTATGGTGATTTTCTTTAATTGTGTTTTCTTAATGGAGCTGTATTTCTACAATTTATTTCTCTCTTTGTTTGCTCGATAATTCTGTCCAAATACAACGACCTAAACCTATAATGTTTCTTGTTGTTGTTTAGAAGTATTTGAGAATAGAAAATAATTGATTTACTCACGGTTTAGTGAGTAATTCATTTTATTTAGGAAATAGACCACGTGATCTCTTAAAAAATACTGTTACCTATGTAACAGTACAAAATTCTTAGTCACGTGGTACACTTGCATTAACAGTAAAAATAACCCCCAGAAGCCTATGGAAAATTAGTATTACGAAAAAACTGAGGGGTAATAATTTTTATTGTTTATAAGAATTTATTGTTTACAAGAATAGTGATATTAGTTATAAGTCGAACACGATGACGTTTACATTAATCGGTCGAGCCATTATGATTATAATGGGTTGTTCAAGTTCTTCAATTATTACGTTTTGCATTTTTATTGCTATATAGAGAATAATAAACGTGGATATAGACACGTCTTCCGAGTAGCGTAGTGGTAAAAGAGTTCAGATTGTAAAGATCTCAGGTTATGAATGTTTTTCGAGTTCGAATCTCTTGTTGTCCACATTTTTTAAATTCTTGTATGTATCGTTTTCTTCTTTCAAATGCATAATATAAATACATTGCGACAGATTTTATAAGTTCTTCATCTTTAGTTGACATGATAATATTAAATTTATTAATAATTAAATGTGACACGTTTGAGCACGGGAAAAGAGCGGAAATACAGCCAATAGTCAAAACACAAAATTTTGTAAAGAAATATTGATGAACGAAAAAGTTATAAGGACATAAAAGGGCAACT